CCATTTTACGATTTCACAGTTGCTAAGTGAATTATTGCATTTGTTAAGTTATTAACATAGTTAATAAACCGTGGTGGCGCAGTGGTTAGGGTGCAGTACTGCAGGCTATTCTGCCGGCTGCCTGCAATTTGGCAGTTCGAATCTCACCAGGCTCAAGGTTGACTCAGCCTTCCAGCCTTCCGAGGTGAGTAAAATGAGGACCCAGATTATTGGAGGCAAATATGCTGACTCTGCAAACCGCTTAGAGAGGGCTGTAAAAGCACTGCAAAGCGGTATGTAAGTGTAAGTGCTATTGCTATAATTGTTAAGTGAATCTGCATTCCCCATTGAGTTTGCTTGTCAGAGGGTCACAAAAGCTGATCACATGACCCCGGACCACTGCAATCGTCATAAATATGAGACAGTTGCCAAGCATCTGAATTTTCATCACATGCCTATGGGGTTGCTGCAATGGTCATAAGTGTGGAAAAACGGTCAGAAGTCTCTTTTTTTTCAGTGTTGTTGTAACTTTGAGTGGTCACCAGATGAACTGTTGTAAGTCGAGAAATACCTGTAGTTGCAATTGCCTCAAATGAATGTCCCCAAGGGATGTATCTAAATTTTCAGGGAGATATTTGAATACAGTGGCTGAATAAACATGAGCAGCCTTTTTGTCAATAGTAGAACATCTCAAACTGCCCCACAGCGTCTTCCTTGGACTTTTTTTTACCTTGGCAAAAAATAATTTGCTTTCTCTTAAGAGTGAAAACTCACAGCAAACTTTAGCCAAAGTTTGCCTGGACCGTTTCTCATCTGGGATGCATCTATTCCCCCAAACAGCAGCCTGAATATGTTTTCCAGAAATGTGGCTTTTGCAAACAGCGCTTAATGGCCTGTTAGCAAATTTTGTTCTGAGTTTACAGGCCTTGCTATAATTGGAGCCAGCAAACGGGCATTTCTTCTGAAACGGTGTCCTTGAAATAGTTTGTGTGTGTTTGTGCGTGTATGTTTGTGTGCCGGAGTCCTTCTTGAGAATTTCACTTCATAGCGCAAGAATGCAACTTAAAAAAAAACAACCAGGATAAATAAAAACATAACTGAAATATGGAATCTTACACATCTGTCGCATAAGCTATTCATTTGTTGGCAGCGAAAATACTGTACATTTTGATTTAAAAGTAATCTTTGGTTCTCCTGCAGCTTTTGAGAAAGAAATATCTGAGAGACCTTTTTTAATTTCTTCTAGTAATTAATGTTCAAGGATAGTATCTGGGAAAGGTCCTTGATTTACAACAGTTCACTTAGTGACATTTGAAATTACAACATCACTGAAAAAAGGTGACTTATGACCATTCTTCACACTTATGACCGTTGCAGCACATCCCCAAGGTCACCTGATCAAAATTTGGAAGCTTGGCAACTGGCTCGTATTTATGACGGTCGCAGTGTCCCAGAAGTAAAGTCAATGGGGGGAAGCCAGATTCATTTAATGGCCGTGTGACTAACTTAACAACTGCAGTGATTCACTTAACAACCGAAGCAAAAAATGGTCATAAAACAAGGCAAAATTCACGTGGCAACTGTTTTGCCTAGCAGCAGAAAGTTTGGGCTCAGTTGTAGTTATAAGTTGAGGACTACCTGTTCCAGTTGGATGCAAACAGAGAGTAAAAGAGTGGGTTAGAGAAACGCTGTTGCTTCAGAAATGGATTTAAATTGTGTATTTTCGAAGCCATCCTAGCATTCCTACCTTAAGCAATGAGAAGGAAGGCATGAGATCATCCAGTTCTTCTATTTCAGGAAATCCTCCAAGCGTGCGGCTAAGCAGTATTTATTGCAAGAGAGTTTGTTTAAACCCTTGCCACAGAAAAAGAAGAAAATACTCAGGCAAATCAAGAATTTCCCCCAATTTGATCCTTTGCCTTGCTGGTCCAGACGGGAATGATAGATATTGAATCCTCTTCCTTGAGCCTTTAGCAGCAAAGACTTTAAGTCTGTAAAAGATCAGCATAGCACAAGGATAGAAAAAAAAAGGAAGGATCAAAGGAAGGAAGGAAAGCCGACATCATTTGGAATTTGGGCTAAAATATTGAGTGAGCTCAGGGGTACGAGAGAGAGGAGCATACAAACAGATGAGTATCTATTTATTTGACGTATTTCTCCTGCCAACTACTGAAATCCACAACAGCCCTTCTTCCAAGCCTCTAGTGCAGCCTCTAAAATAAGGGTGAGCGTGAAATTAGAAACATGTTTTGTTTTGGGCTCCGAACAAAACTCATTTAAGTGGCTCCAATGTAAGATTCTGAGTTTGCTGTGTTCCAACCAAATAAAACAGCCAGGGTATGAACGGTTAGTCCATCAAAACACAATGGATAAAGGTAGTCCTTGAGCTAAGACCACAATCGAGCCCAACATTTCTGTTGTTAAGCGAGGCCTTGGTTAAGCAAATTTTATTCCATTTTACAACCTTTCTTACCACTGTTGTTAAGTGGATCACTGCCGTTGTTAAGTTAGTCACACAGCTGTTAAAGTGGCTTCCCCGTTGACTTTGCTTGTCAGAAGGTCGCAACAGGGGACCCTGGGACCCTGGGACCACTGTAAATGTGAGTCGCTTGTCAAGCCTCCGAATGTAAATCACGTGGCTATGGGGATGCTGCAACAGTCGTAACTGTGAAGAACGGTCCTAAGTTAGTTTTTTTTCAGTGCTGTTGTAACTTTGAACAGTCACTAAATGAACACTTTGTAAGCCGAGGACTATCTGTATTCAGAAAAACCCCTTGCTGCCTTGTGTTCAAATCCATAAGAATGGGTGGAGTGGCAGTCCAGACTCCTGTCTTTCATTGAACTTTTATAAAACTTGGCCAAAAGTATTGATTTTAAGATCAGTTTAAAATACCTGTTGGCTGTGCTTCCTGAAAGTGATAGGAATTGCGGTCTCTAGCTTACATGCAGGGCATATTGTTGGAGAAAGCTGGTTTACACTGAGTGAATTTTTTTATTTTTAATCTAAATCTACCATATCGACCTAAACTATAATGTGATTTGTTTTATTTTGGGAAACACTTCCTCTTCTTGCAGCCCATAGTAATTATGTTGACGATGACCACTTAAAACTGAATTTCATTGTAGAATGGAATTATTGTGCTTCGCACAGTTGGCCACATGTTTAGACCGGAATTGGCATTTTTGTCCGCCTGTCCAGAGTTCTTCTCAAGGACCTGGGATGGGTAGATGTGGATGATTGATGTGGTCCAAGGTCTCATCACAGGGCGGAAACTGTTCTGAAGCAAGCTGCCTTTTGCAGTTGACTGTTGATGAGTGTGTCAGTGCCGGTGGCATGACTGCAATGCAGATGTTTAGACTGGATTTTGGCATGTTGGTCCACCTTATCGAGTCCTTCCTAAGAAGGCAGATGTCCTTGTTTAATACTATTCAAGGTCTTGTTGCTGGATGGAAGCTGTTCCGAGGCAAGCTGCCTTTTGCAATTGACCGATGGGGATTGCGTCAATGCCATTGGGGTTCAAGTGGTGCTCCTGATGTTTTGGAATTGCACCCAACGTGCCTGTCACTATTGGTACCATCTTTGCTTTCTTTTGCCACAGTTGTTCTACTTCTATTTGCGGGTCTTTGTATTTTGTGAAGTTGTTATTATGGTTCATCACCCTGGGTTTGGCATCTTTATCCATCAATCAAGTCCTTCCCAAGGACCTGAGACAGGCAGGTGTTGTGGTTTGATGTCATGAAAAGTATTAGTGCAGGATTTAAGCTGTCCCAAGCAAAGCTGCCATTTGACTGATGGAAACTTGGATGAGGTTGAAGTGGTGCTCCAGATGTTTTCCCATTAAACCACTTACTTTTTTATTTCTTTTGCCATAGTTGTTCTGCTGATATCTGCAGGTCTTTGCATTTTATTCTCTTCTCCAGTTCTTCTATTCTGCTGTCTCCAGATATTGCCACGTCCACTATCCAGACTCGGTTGTCCTTTTTTGTAAATTTTATTTATTTTCAAAATACATATGAAAATTACATTTTAACAGTTCTGTGTCAAGCGTTACTTATATTTACAATTCTTTTTCATATCAAAACTTATTTCTCTTATCTAACCATAGATATATATATAACATTTTCCAAACCCTATAAAACTCAGACTCCTCTTTGCCTTTAAGTTTTCTCATAAACCTATCCATCTTGGCACAATCAAGTATTTAGTTTATTACCATATTTTCGTAAGGTACTTCATCTGTTTTCCAGCTTGGGGCATAAGCAATTCTTGCCACTGTTAATATGTGTTGTACAACATATTGGATAGGTTTCTTCAGGTTTCCTTTAATCAGCCTCAATAAAAAAGTTTCTGGCTTAAATTCAGTATCATGCCCTGTAATTTCTCTTATCCATTTCTTCAAATTTTCCCAGTATTTTTTAACATTGGGCCATTGCCACCACATATGATAGCATGTTCCATCTGTGAGCTTACATTTCCAGCATTGCGGTTTCATATTCAGGTATATTTTGGCCAATCTCACCGGTGTCAAATGCCATCTATAAAACATCTTGATTAAATTTTCTTTATACGCTGTTGATAACATTAATTTGCAGTTCTTGGTCCAAATTTTCTCCCAATCTTCTAACTGTATGCTATGACCTACATTTTGTGCCCAAGCAATCATTGGGCCCTTAACTACTTCTTCCTCCACTTCTACTTGGAGTAAATAATTCTATGTTCTAGTGATAAATTTTTCTTCTTTACCAGTTAAAATTTGGTCTGATTGTTGGGGTTCCCTTTGTATTCCAAATTCCTCCATATCTTTTTTTTATACCTAGTTTTGGTTGTCCTTCTTTTTGACAGTTGTGAAGTCAGGGGTGTTATGGGGTAGGTGCTTGTCTGTTTGGATTTTAAACTCCCAGAGCACTTGAGCCTATTATTACTACCGTTATCGTTAATGGTTACTGTTATCCCATCTTGATCTTTATGTTCTTACTCTCGCTTGGCTGGATCTCATACTGTTTATTCCTTCTCTTTCAAGATTTATCACGGAACCGACTCTCTGAGTTGCCACCAGAAGCCTGCCTCTTCGTTTCCCTCGAGAGCTTGAATCTGTACCAGAATTGCATTCGCTATATTCCAGAAGCCATTTTGAACCTGCAGTCCTTAACATTTTTGAATATCAGGTAAGCACGTCCCATCCCCCTTGCCTCCCACCCACCCCCAGGCCATCCTGGACTGCCCACGCTGGAGAGTGTTGAGCCTAGCAGAATGTTCATGTTGTCATGAAAAGGAGAAGGCTTGATTGAAGATGAGCCACCACGTTTTCCAAGGAGAATCAGCGGTTCTTACATTGAATTGAAAACTTGCCCTTTCAAAAAAAAAAAAATCTGGCTGTCCAGCTTACATTTTTTATATATTTGCTTGGTGTCTACATGGTGGGCAAATGTGAAGAGTTCAGAATTTTTCCTTGAGATCACTGCAGGTTACTGCTAAATGCAGGTGTCATAGGATGAAGGAGGTGTTATTCTGTGACAGCAAAAAAACAACACCCCTGCAGTCTGATAGTACCTTTTCTGACTGACAAATTATATTGTAAGGCAATATAATTTGGTGAACTCATGTCTTAGATGGCACTTGATGAAATAAACTGGAGCTCACCAAAGGTGGTTATAATTATTATTTATTAAATCTCTAGTGTGTGCTACCTTCTCTAACATAAGCTGGTGAAACATGGACACTAACCTCACAATTGATACAAAAGCTACGTGTGGCGCAAAGAGCCACGGACAGTTACATGCTCGGCATTACAAGAATAGAATAGAATTCTTTATTGGCCAAATGTGATTGGACACACAAGGGATTTGTTTTGGTGCAAATGCTCTCAATGTACATAAAAGAAAAGATACATTCATCAAAAGTCAAGAATCATAAGGTGCGACACTTAATAATCAAATCATACTAGGAAACAGTCAATAAAAATCATAAGGATACAAGCGACAAAGTTACAGTCATACAGTCACAAGTGGGAGGGGATGGGTGATAAGGAGTGATGAGAAGGTTAATAGTAATAGTAGTGCAGTCTTTGTAAATAGTTGGACAGTGTTGAGGGAATTATTTGTTTAGCAGAGTGATGGCATTGGGGGAAAAACAGTCCTTGTGTCTAGTTGTTCTGGTGTTCAGTGCTCTATAGCGTCGTTTTGAGGGAAGGAGTTGAAACAGTTTATTTCTGGGATGTGAGAGGTCTGTAAATATTTTCACAGCCCTCTTTTTGGATACAGGATACAGGTCCTCCATGGAAGGTAGGTTGGTAGCCATTGTTTTTTCTGCAGTCCTAATTACTCTCTGAAGTCTGTGTCTATCTTGTTGAGTTGCAGAACCGAACCAGACAGTTAAAGAGGTGCAGATGACAGATGACAAGACAAGATAGAAAGTCATCCTGCACATAGGTTAGATAATAAACACATGTATGCCGTATCATTAAGAGAGTCAAAGAATTGAAATGGAAACGAATTGGGCGCATAGCAGGAAGAACTGAGGGCACATGGGCCAAGGCAGTCATAGAATGGATCCCATTTGATCAAAAGCATCCACAAAAGAGACATAGAACAAAATGGAGCGACGACATCAGCCCAATATTGGGGAGGTCCAATTAGCAAAAGGAAGCTTAGGGCCATATTGGTTGGAACATGAGGAAGAGACCTTCATCCTGCAGTGGATAGACAATGGCTAAAATGATGATGATGATGATGCTAAAAACCTGTAGGCCACCCATCGCACTGTTGAAGGGAGGTTATGCCTTTCAATAAAACACATTGGTCAAAAAACATGCGACCAAAATGCAATTTCTTTTCTCCTGGTTCTTACTTTTAACCCAGTGTGTTTCTACTGTTTTAACCTGGGGGGTCCCCAAACTTGGCAACTTTAAGACTTGTGGACTTCAGCTCCCAGAATTCTCCAGCCAGCACAGCTTACTCTCTTGCAATCCCTTCCTCTGCAATCTCTGCTCTTTGGGGGATAAGAGAAAAAAGAAATAGACAGGGCTGGCAGGGGAATTCTGGGAGTTGAAGTCCACGTCTTAAAGTTGCCAAGTTTGGAGGCCTCTGTTTTAACCATTCAGTTGTGTCCGACTTTTGGTGACTTTATAGGCAAGTGGCCTCCAGGCTACCCTGCCAAACCCAGCTTCTTTCAATTGTTGGATGTTCCACTTTGCGTCGGATGCGATGTTGATCGAGCCGGTGTGTCCTTTACTTGCCCCTTCTTGTTCCACTGACAGTTCCTAGCATCATTGCCTTCTCCGATGAATTCGCACTCATAACTTGGCCAAATTAACTCAGCCGTTGTCTTGATATTTTTGACTTCTAATGATGTGGCTGGTTTTATACGATTCATCATCTCTTTCTTGGTCGCTGTGGATGACCATGATATATGCAATAATTTACTCCAGCCCACCAGTTTGAAGGTGTCAATTCTTTTTCAACCGGCCATTCTTGGTACCCAGATCTTACAACCATATATTATTGCAGACTACAGGCAGTCCTTGACTTACAATGGTTCATTTAGTGGCCTTTTCTTTTCTTTTTCTTTTCTTTAAATTTTTTATTTTATTTTAAAACAAACAATCCATCTTCCATTTAAACTGTGTGTACAAATAAACTGAGTACAAATATCTTGTGCAATAACAATTACAGTTTACACATATTCATTGTATTGGTATTGATTCCCTATTTTTAGTTAATACTGATATACATAATATGTCTAATTTTTATAACAATCCCCATCTTAACATATTTGATTATATTAGCATGTTTTCTATATTCACTAATCTTTTTTAATTTCTAATTCCCATATTTATTCTCAAGCTGTGATGACCCGGGGTGGGATACAAAAGCAACAAAGTCACAAAAATAGGTGAAGTCCCTTTAATTCCTTCAACTTGGCCTCCAAGGTTCAATTATCATTGACTGGAGAAAAACTCCCCCCGCCCCACCAACAGTTGCGAAGTTTGGAGACCTCTGCTCTAACTAGCCTGCTTTTTGTGTTTATATCAATATCTTTCTTTTCCAGATCTTATTCATGTTAATTCTCACAGTGGGGCCTAAGGTTATCCTGCATTTGATTTCAGGAGTTATACCTGCCATTGTGAACAATAAATCTATTATAGCATTTCTGTATTAACTTAAGTTTATCCTTTGTTTCTGGCCATAAGATAGATAGGTAGAATTCTTTTTATTGGCCAAGTGTGATTGGACACACAAGGAATTTGTCTTGGTGCAAATGCTCTCCGTGTCCATAAAAGAAAAAGAAATACATTCGTCAAGAGTCAAGAATCATCAGGTGCAACACTTAATGATAGTCATAGGGTACAATAAGCAATCAAATCATACTAGGAAACAGTCCATATGAATCGTAAGGATAATTCAAGATGCTGCCTTAATGGCTACAATCCTAAACAGTTTGATATTTTGACACACACACACACACACACACACACACACACACACACACACACAGACTGCCTCTTCATTTTAACAAAAACGTGCCTGAAGTGAGGTATCTATTTTGAAAGACTTTCTGGTGTAAGGGGTGGTGGTGGTCTGTGCAAAACAGCGCGAACTGTTTTGTGTTTCCCAAAGCCATTTTAAGTGACTCGAGTGGGAAAGATAACCCTCCAGTCTTCCACTCCAAAGAGCACAAACCCTTTCATGTTTGAAAATGGCCCTTTTTTTAAAAAGTGAGCTAAGTGGGAAAGGGAACCTCGTGTGGTTCCATAAGTTAGATTGGAGTCTGGAGCAAAACACGCTGCTTTCGTTCCGACCCCAGAAGTAAAACTTGCCTGGTTTGAGCCAGCAGCACAGTCATCTAGTCCTTCAGGGTATTCTTGTCATTCCGAAGGTGAGACGGACCATTTCCAGCATCCTGTGTTCGAAATACAGGCTGTCCTCGACTTACAGCCACAGTTGAGCCCAAAACCTATGTTCTTAAGCAAGGCATTCGTTCAGTGAGTTCAGTGCCCCATTTTACAACTTTCTTAGCCCCCATTGAATCGCTGATAAGTTAGTAATAAGGTTGTTAAGTGAATCTGGCTTTTCCCCCCATTGACTTTGTTTGTCAGAAGGTCGCAAAAGGGGATCACGTCGTAAATATGAACCAGTTGCCATGCATCCGAATTTTGATCACAAGACCACAGGGACGCTGCAACGGTCGTAAGTGCGAAAAACGGTCCTAAGTCGCTTTTTTCAGTGACCTTGTAACTTTGAACGGCCACTAAAAGAACTGTAAGTCAAGGACTAGCTATAAAACCTGTGTGGTTTGAGTGGGGTTTTTTGTTTTTGTTTTTTGTAGCATGTGGCTGACTTGTCTCGTCCAACTACTTTGAGTGGTCCTATTTCATTCCACACCTGAAACAAAAACGTATTTTCCTCCTGTGCAGATTCCTTCTTCCACATGGAAATTAAAGCCCAGCTAATTGGGGACGCTCTTTTGGTGATTCTTCATCTGGGGAAAACACGTTAGACCTGTTCTTTATTTAGCTTTAGGCCGGCTGTTTCGTTTTCAGTTGGTTTTCGAATGGTCTCTGAACTACTTCTTTTCCTGGAGTGAACAGTTTGTTTTCTAAGATTTTGGGACTTTTTGAGCCCGGGTGATGTAGATAAAAAAAAGTGCTGGATTTCTTCATAGGATAGAATACAATAGAATTCTTTATTGGCCAAGTGTGATTGGACACACAAGGAATTTGTTTTGGTGCAAATGCTCTCAGGGTACATAAAAGGAAAGATGCATTTGTCAAGAATCATAGAAAGTACAACACTTAATAATAGTCATAGGGTACAATATGCAATCAAATCATACTTGGAAACAGTCAAGTAAGATATTGGAATAAAGAATAAAATTAGAATAGAATAGAATAGAATAGAATAGAATAGAATAGAATAGAATA